CGTCCTGCAGCTACTGCGTCCTCTGCATGCACCCGGCCGTGATCCCTTCCCTTGCAGTCGCCCCCAGTGTCCAAGACCAGGACGGGACAAGCAGCGAGAGTCGAGCAAGAGTCAAGACAATTGGAAGAGCAGGACTGGCGGCACCAAGACCAGGTCAACGGCCGAGGTCCACCTCGAGGGCACGCCGTTGATGCTAACCGTCTGCTAGCGCATGTATGCTCGCTGTAAGGCGAGGCAAGGCAAGGTAGGTAAGCCAAGGCGTGGTGAGGTAGCGTAGAGGTTGACCGACCGCCGTCACCCGTCTACCACCACCACCACCACCACCACACCAAAGACTGCAAAGAGCTCCCCCATCCATCCATGTCGGTACATGGAAGCTGCTCAGGTACCTTGCACACCCGTCCAGAGACCTACGAATAGGAACCCGGGATGGCCTTCCCATGGGTCGTGCGATCCGTCGCTCCTGCTTCTGGTGCTTCTGGGGCTCGCGTCCACTGGCACTGCTTTTTGCTCCTCTATCTGTGCTGCAACGCTGCGAGTACTCAATACCTGGAAGCTCGACGACTGGCCAGCCGAAGCTTCTCGGGAGCCATTGCTACTGTGCCGCGGGCCCAATTGCGTGTGAGACGGCGCCTCTGTCAGAAGAACCAGGACAATGCTGACTGGCGTGCAGTGCCTTGTGGCTTTGTGTACGTATATTTCATAATGGGCGGGCTTTATTCAAGGTCGGCTGTATCATCTCGCCTCTTCCCGTCTCGTCCCTTTTTCCGTGCCTCAACCGCGCAGCACCATCATGTAAGGTCCTCGTTGCTGACACTGCGTGTCAAGGCATCGTAATTGGGACAAAGGGCAGCACAGCACGGTCGTCGACTACACGAGCCAAGATTACGTGTTTCTCCAGTTTTGTGTGTATGATGAGACGGGTTGCCTCTTTTTTTGGTTTCCCAGGAACCCCTTTCCAAGTTTCCTCGCTTGGGGGGGAGGAAGGGTGGCCTGGATTTGCAAGTCTGAGCACAGATGATGGGCCAGGTCCCTTCAGGTCGTCCGACACCTTCCGCACGAGGGTTCCAAGGGAAAGAAGGAAACAAACAAAACGCCCAAGAGATTCGAAGAACAATCCAAATGTCGGATATTTTGCGCACAAACCCGAGCCTCGAGCAGGACGAGGCAAGGCAAGACGATACAGGAAACGACCAGGGGCAAGCCGGTAGGTACTGTAGTACATATGTACGCTCTTTTGCTAGCCGTAAGTACTCCGTACCAACTTCAAGATGTGCAAGGTATCGCTATAGACTATGGAGATGGAGGCAGGTCGATGGATAGGTGCCTTGCTTGGGGGCCTTGGCTGCGCCGCGCCAGCACGATGCCAGCGATGGGTTGCGACTGGTTCGTGGGAATCCGGACACGGCACCTCCTCACCTCAGTTGACAGAGATGTGTGGGCTGCGTGCCGTAGCGCACTTCGGCTCTCTCTCACTCACACACACTCCCGTCTGTCTCTCTCCTCCGGCTTCCTCCAGCGTCTGCGTCTGCGTATGCGCGGGCGGCGGCGGCGGCGGGACCACACCGGGGGGAAGAGAGGGAGGGGGGACAGGACTCGAGTTCCGTTGTCGACGTCGACGTCTTCCCTTCCCTGTCCTTACAAGTGGACGTCGGCCCCGGTACGTACACTGCCTGGACTGAGGTGACTGCCCTGCTCGCCCCCGATGTGGCACCCGTGGACCGTCACAAAGTCCGGCCCATCAACTGCCATGATCAGGACCCAGGTGGACCTCCCACCTACCCTGCGCTTTTTGCGGACCCCTGGCCCGGGTGCGGGCACAGACTGTTAGCTTCCCCTTTCAGGAACTCCTCCAACGAACATGCCTGCACGCCTCCGCATCTGTGCCTCGCCCATATTTTTTTTTTCTCTCCTCTCCAGCACTCTCTGTTGCTGGTGTGTGTCTTGCTCTCGCGTATGGATGGCATTGCTCTCTTCTCATTGCTTCCAATTCCCCGAGGCTTGCCTTGCCTTGCCTGCATCTCTACCTTGCCACTTTTACGACTCACTGCCACACGCGCATACCGGGCACAGATCACCGGCGGGAGAGGCTGGTCTTGTCTTGTATCCAGTCGCAGCTGTTCAACCTTGAACCCTCTTACTTGTCAGTTACGGTAACACAGTCCGCGCAACTCGCAAGAGCCGTCCACGAGGGGGAGAAGAGGAGCCAGGAGATTGCGCCTGGCCCATAAGGTCACTAGCGTCCATGTATGTAAGTCATAACGGATCTCCATATGAGTCTAATCATGCGCAGTGAGGCCTTGAGAGATGCAACCGCCAGCAGCATCGCGACTCGCGAGTCGTGAAGACGCATGCCATTCCCCATACCGACCACCAAGCCATGCCAGACTTGCCATCTTGGACACGTTTGACCGACCCGACCGCCCCTATTACCTTCCCTTCCCAGGACACCATGCAACCGCTCATGACAAGAGAGATACCAACTATCGTCTTTGCCATCCATTTTTATTTTTCTCCGTCCCTTCGATTTTCCCCCAGCCACGCCCCATCGTGGTGAGGGGTAATCCGTTCATCCATCGCTCTTCTCTCTCGTGGTCTCGCAGAACCTCCTCCTCGCGGCCCCGACCCGTCAACCTGCATGCGCTTGCTATTGCGCGTGGTCTCCATCAAGAGAGTCATGGCACTTATTTTTTGACGGCAGAGCCCGAACAATAAGAAACCCGCACTTGCAAGTCGCGACTACGCCTTAAGGCTTGAACGAACCGCGCCGTTACCAGCCTTGCTTTTCTAAATCCAACGCCCCTCACACCCCTCCTTCGCCGTTCGTCGGCGAGCGCAGGCTCTGGAAAAAAGAGAGACATTGCCTTCTGGCTGACCAGCCCGCCAGCCAGCAAAAGCCTCAGTCAGGCGCCTGTGTCTATTATATTAACCCTCTCTTAATATTGCCTGCCCACTCCACCATACCCGGACAGGGATGCTTCCAAATGGATGTGTGCCCCAAGCGAGTTCACTCAACCCCCGGTCTCTAGCAATCTCGTGAACCGATTCTCTCCCCTCCCCTCCCTCCTCTCTCACACCCCCTAGTCCCCACGCCTTTCCCGTTTTTGCCCTTCATCGGCGTCTCTGCCCAACGGTCTTCTAGAAAATAAATGGGCCGCTGGCCTACGAGAGCCGTCGGAGGATTCTCTGTCTAGTCTTCCTCATCGGCCTACCCCCTCCACCGACCCCTGGCCGCACGCCATGGGTCACCTATTGGCCGGCACGAGGGGATTTGGAGCCCTTCCAGCCTGCGATTTCCTCCTCAAGAGATGGCCCCCCGTGCCTCCGTACGATCCATGCCAGGTTCTTCTCCGTCCCTCCATCTCGACGGAGCTACTTACCGCACATGCCACCCTGCTCACCAGGGTCAGTAGTGCCAACCCTGAAGGCTTGCCGTCAACTCTCTTCCATGTCTCTCGCTGCTAGCAATGTCAGTTTGTGCAAGGGCACTCGTTCGCGCCGTCCGGCAGAAGCGGGGGTGTGTTCTGTGAGTGTGTGTATGGGTGTGTGTGTGCGCGCGTAGGTGCGAGGGAGACAGAAAGCGAGAGCGCAGAGTGAGAAGCTTGTAGTAGCGTAAACTGAGTGTCCGGCTGGGGCCTACTCGACCGGTGTGGTGTGTCTCGTACATGATGACGATGACCGCTGGATACGCCTGTTTGTTCACTCTTGTGTCTATGGATGCAAGTTGTGAGTGAGTAAACAATACATCAGGACGGCGGGCCATCAACGAATAAGCATCAAAGACGCAATGTCCTAAATCCCGGAGACCCGTCCCCCTCATTCACTTGAGTGTATCTGTGGTACGGATACCCAGGTAAGAAGAACATGTACGCAGTATCCGCCGTATGCTCTGTGTGATATGTGCAATTTCATAAACCCAAGCTCGAGTGAGCTACGGACTATTCGTACATGCATACTGCAACAGCAGTTGAAGCACCTGGACCTGGTATCCTGAACTGTGCTCGTTTGCTCTTATCAAACCGTTTCAGTGCCGCCCCTCGTCCTGACCACGACTTGTCTCCTCTCGCCGTCCCCCCTTCCCCATAGCGCCGCCTTCTAAGAAGGGTATTTCCCTAAACCTGGTCGCCGCTCTGCAGGGCGCATCCATACCCCCATCGCTGTAGCTCCATTGCGTGCCTTGTTCTTCCGCTCACCAGATCGCCCGCTGCTCCCCTTCTCCTTCCCAGTATGGTTGCATGCACTGACCGTCGTCGACCAAGAACACGCCGTTGCGTTGTACTAGTGACCTCTCCTCTCCTGCTGGCTTCTGCCGCTGAAGAAGACAGACAGACACGCACACCACACATGCTGCTTCTGCTGCTGCTACTCCAATACAGTACACGCAAGTAATAAGTGGTCGACGGGGTCGGTGCTGCCAGCCAGCACGCATCCATTGTAGGAGCATCCCGTCGAGACATCGACTCCCGTCGTTTGCCGTGGTGGTAGGTCGTCCTCCTCGACTTGTTCCCCTCGCCCCGACTCGCATCAACTCGACTCGACACAAACTCGACCTTGGCTGGCCTCCCCCAGCCCTGCCCCATCCAGTATCCACCCAAGAACAGTGCCGAAGATTTTCATCAGACACCCCCTCCAACATCTACCGTCCTCCTGCCTGCTACCCATCCACCCCATCATATACAAGTATACATCTGTCCCTGCAACCTTAAACATGACCGTCGTCCGTTGAACCTCAACTTCACCTTTGCATCTCCTGCATCTTCTCGAGTCTTCGCCCATCACTGTTCGACACCAAACAAAAGGCCGTCCTCATCGCCCTCCTCCCGCCGTCTTCCCTTGGTCATCACACGGCTGAGCATCTACATCCCGTATATGCCTTGCTGATCCCCGCCAGCAAGAAACCACATATCTTGTGAAGGAGAGGTGTGCGCTTGGGTCTGGAACAGGACTGCAGCGCTCCAGAAGGGCATGCTCTAATGTCAACCACGGTGACCTACCCCGTCATGGCAGAGTTGAAAGAGCCGGCGCATTCCAGTCTTTGGTCCAACTATGGAAGTCCCGTCCAGATGGCGTCTCGATTCAACAACAGCCTGGATTCCGGCCTCGGAGGCCATGCCGCCAACTCGCCACACGCAGGCCGCCCAAGAAGCCACCACCCGAGCGTAGACCACGGCTCCTACCCGTACGGTCGCTACCCCCAGGATGAATCTGATGCGTACGACAGGCACGCGCATCCAAGCCTGTCCTCCCACCACAGCTTCCCCAACCTGAAGAGGCCGTACTCCCATACCGAGCAGCCTCCTTACCAGGAGATTGTCCAGGATCTGAGGGACGACGGGTCCAAGCTGACGGTGAACCACGACCACAAGCTGCTATCCTTCAAGAGAGTGCAGGATAAGCACACGATTCTTGACCAGCATGGGCGCATGCAGCAGCTGGAGCTGTCTGCCCAGCTCCACGGAATGTTCTTCCTCTCCGAGATGCCCACCAACACCAACGACGGCACCATCATCCAGCCCGAGCTTACCTGCTACCGACGAAACCTCTTCCAGATCAGCGGCTCTCTGATCACCCCGCGCGGCCAGCTCTCGGTCGTCACCGAGACTGGCGAGACTGTTCCCGTCAGCAACACCGAAGTCACCATCTCCGCTATCGAGTCGGTCGATGGCCATCCCGTCCGTCTCATCGTCATTCCCTGGAAGACGCCCCCACCCAACTCCCCCGAGATCTCCCAGACCGCGGACCAAGAGCCAGCATCACTTCCCCTGATCCCCTTCCAAGAGGACGGCTCCGAGGCCGATGGAGAATATGCCGTATACCCCATCGGGTGGCGCCGATTGCAGTTCAGAATGTGAGTAACTTGGAGCACGCTTGCACAAAGGAACGATTTCGTATTAACTCTGGTTCAGCGCTACCGCGAACAACGGCAGAAGGAAGGAACTGCAGCAGCACTTTGTGCTCCATCTCAAGGTCGTCGCCACGCTGGCCAACGGCAGCAAGGTCGTGCTTACGGAATCGACAACGGCTCCCATCGTTGTGCGTGGCCGCAGCCCGCGCAACTTCCAAGCCAGGAAAGAGATTCCTCTGCTCGGCTCCAGCGCTGGCTCAAGAGGCCAGGCCTTGGTCGAGACCGGATTGGGTATCGTGGCAGGACCGTTGGCAGTCAAGCCGCAAGAAGCCAAGGCAAGAGGGTTGGATATGCAGATGCCCCGCTCCGCCTTCACCTTCAGCGCCGGAGGGCCCAAGATGCCAGGAGCCCCGATGACAGCTATGAGATCAAAGTAAGCCCGCCCAGCCAACCCCTCCATTCCTTCGCCTGGACTTGCCAAATCGATCACTCGATCGACTTGGTGCGTGTCCATCACTTGATGAACGCCGACTCCTGACAGAAGAACCTCGCTGACTAGTTCCAGCTCCTACCCTAACTGGGGCTCCACGAACCCCGTGTCCATGTCTCAACTGCCACCGTCCGGCTCGGGAGGTTACCCGGCGACCTCCATGGCAGGAGAGCCTTACCATAAGGTCCCTCTCTCGGGCGGAACCAGCTTCAGTGCTGAACCGCAAGACATGCCTCTCCAAACATCAATGCCATCGGTCCAGCTGTCGTTGGTAGCAAACGAGCAGCAGCAGCCCCCTATCAGGACCCAATATGCGTACGTCCAGAGCACTACCGCCCCGCCTCCCCTCTCCGTTTCGACGACTGCGATGGCGAGCTCGGACAATGCGCTGAACGTCCCAAGATACGTCGACAACCCGAGGCCCACCAAGAGCCCCAGGCACGCGAGTGTCCCTTCCATCCACAGCACTGGCTCTCTTCCCAACGATTCGTCGCCCGAGTACCGATACGGCTCGTCGTACGGAGCCGTCGGCAGCAACGCCAGCGAGATCCCGCCACCTGCCTACAAGCAGGAGCCTGCTGCCTCCCACCCCGGCCCCGCCCGAGACTACTACCCTCCCGCGAGCTCGTGGACAACAACAGCCGGCGAGCCCGCCTCGACCGTTGCCTACACCAGCGGCGAGGGACGGCCGTACGCCTTCCCCGACCAATACGCCAGCGGAGGTTCAGCGCCGTCAACCAAGCAGGAGGCCGCTGCCCCTCCAGCACCCGGATCATACAGCAGCGCACACCGGGGTTCCTTTGACGGCATGAACCACTACTCCTGGAACACTAATTAGCTGTGCGCATAATTGTTTGGCGGCTGGGTTACGCCATTCGTTCCCCAACTTCGAGAAACAATAATAGGTTCGGGCCGGGCGTGACCAGACTGGCGGAAACAAGTCCTTTGGCCTAGGCTGTTTCCTACCCTGGCACGACGGCCCCTGACTGTGTACCATCATACCCTTCGATTCGAGGCCTGGGAGAGACAGAGCGATTGCGGTTCGGATTTGAGTTTGGGATGTTATTTGCTTTGTTTTTTCTTGTGTCGGCGAGAAGTTTCAGTTCTTTGAGGCCATGACGAAGCTAGGGAGTTCCAAACAACCGGGGGTTTCAGTCCATCGTAGGATGCGATGGACGTCGGGCCCCGACGGGCCTCTCCCCCACACCATCAGCTCGGCATCGGCAACGTCCCTTTTTTATTTTTATGTTTCATGACAGACCGGACCCGAGCATAATTGGGTAGGCGCAGCAACGAGATGGTCGAGATCGGCGTCAAGAGACGGGCATTGTCTGGTGGCTGGGCATTTCGATACCACACGGAGGATAGCATTGACGTCGGATGCTCTGGCCGGACGCTTCTATCACCGGCTCCGGGCCGTGCTGCGACATTGGGAGGGCGGGTTACATTACGATGTGTATGGTATTTTACTTTCCTTTATATTTTTTGGGACGCGTCGAACGCAGGGTATCGGGGCAAGGAAAGCAATGAAAGGCATTGTGGTCTTCAAACCGGCATCCTCTTTTGATTCCTGCAGTGCGCCGACGATGGCGGTATTTTGTGGTGTTGAAGGGAGAGAGAGAGAGAGAAAGCCTTCTAAGCCTGGGATGGCACGACGTCCAGAAAAGAGCCTCATCCCGCTGAGGCGGTTGAGTTCCGCCACCCGAACGCCAGGGATGGCCGAGCGTTCAGCTGATTTGTTCAGCACGGGAGCGACCCAACCTACTGGTAACTTTCGAGACCCGGGCAGGCGGTGAAGACGAAACGGTGTGGGCAGTCCTTTTGGTTTTTGTGTTTTGGTCGGTTGGGAATGGGTGGATTGGCTTGGCCTTGTCTCGTTTTTTGGGTTCCAATGTTGCTCGCACGACGGCGGCGACCTACATTGTTGTGTTATGCGTGCGCGCAAACTTTGGTGGAGGGAAATTTGGATGAGGCTGGCTTGTTTTACTTTTCAATTTGTTAGATGGAGGAAGGGAGGAGGAAAGAGAAGGAATCCTCTTTTTAGTGAGACAGAGAGAAGAGAAAAAAAATGCCCAGAAAATGCACAAAGCGATGAGACAGAGACCAAAGCTTTTCTCCCCGTCCCATGTTTTCCTGCTGCCGCCCCTCTCAGCCCACTTCAACATTTCCCCGCCTGGGGGAAACAAGAAGCTCGTATTGGGGATTATCGTGTGTATCGGTGTAGTGCGAGAGAGGGGGGACCGGACCCGGGTACGAGACGGGCAGGCAGGGCTATTTATTATTAACAACCTCAAGTTCTGTTGGTACACAACGCAAACGCCAACCGCAAGCCAAACCCCACGAGGTACTTTCGTCCATTGTGTGCTTGCGTCTGACCCGGTTCTAGCCTCCCTCCCTTTGGCTCCTAAAATTACCTTGCCTGCCTCGCCGGGCGTTCGCAATGTTGGGCGGGTTCCCACTCACACAAACACAGCATAGCACGTTGGTCGCTCACGCGCACCAACGGCGGAGGCGCATCGTCATCTCATCTCACCTCGTCACCTTGCCTTACATACCGTTACGCTCGCCGCACCCACCCCCCTCCCTCCCTCCCTCCGCTCTTCCAATAGTCTGGGCAGACTAGCCTGGCGCCGTTTGTTGGCGTTGGCGGCGGCGGTGGTGGCGGTGGCCGGCGCGGAGCGGGAGACCCCACGTGCGGTGGGAACCAATGCACCGGAGATCATATATGTCCTTGTTGTATGGTGTGCGTTGCGTTTTCTCTTGCATGGTTTGTCACTGTTTCGTCGTGCTGTTGGTTCGTTTCCCCTCCCTCTTCCTGTACTCCTCTTGCTCCCATCTCCCGTAGGATTCACTCCATGGATTAGGAAACCCACTCACTTCGCTGTCCGCCCCCGCCGTTTGGAGGAGAGAGGGAGGGGGACAGCGCAGGCTACGCTCCTGCTGCGGAGGAGGAAGGGACAGCAGGCCGCTTGCGCGTCGTTGGACGTTGCATCGCGGTAAGCCACAGACCTCCAACGGTCCAACGGGGCGTAACGAGCGGGATGCCCGTTTCGGCGCTTTTTTGGGCAAGTAGTACGAACTGCTCCTCAGCTGAATGGGCGCGGAATCATTCATCACTGGCGGGGCTCGGAGGAACATGGAGGGGCGTGTGTCAATGTGTGAGGGCGGCGCATTTTACGTTGGTTCTGCTTGTTCTTCGTTCTCATTTTACCAAGAGTTCGGGTTGGGAGATTTGCTTCTCTGCTCGGGCCCGAGGGATCGGGTAGGTAGGGGAGGGTCCGCCCCGAATTTGGTGATGATGACGATCCGTCACCTGTCAAAGGTGCACCAACACACGCAACCCACACCACCCACACTACCTGTCAAGGGAGATGAGGGGGGGTGGACAAGGGTGTTCGTGGTCAGAAGGAAGGGGAACCAACGCGACGAGGAACAAGCAAGCCATGCACATCACACACCACGGAACCGGCGCGTTGGGACGGTGGTTCTTCCTTCGGGGAGTTCGTCGTAAATCCCCAAGCAAGACGGGAAAGCAAGCAAGCAAGCAAGCAGCCACCCGAACCCCGGCCCGCCCTCCACCTCCTCACATGGCGTCGAGGACTGACACCCCTCCCCTGAAGAGCTGAGCTGAACTCGCCGGGGCTGGACGCCAAGGCAGCGGAGCGGAAGGGATGCGGCTGCCATGTGGTTTGGATGTGAGACAGTATATCAGTAAAGAAACGAGGACGGTGGCCACGTTGTTTTCATACATCCCAGGGCTCGGATTTGAGTTGCAGTGCAGCTTGCTTTGACATGTTGTGGCAGCCGGAAGGGAGGGGGGCTGCTGCGTTGTGTCTGTCTACCTGCGTCCGTAGCGTTTCTTCTATGCGTGGTGGCTTTTACGGCCGTAGGATTCTCGTCGTGTGTCCACATCAACTGCCACTCAACAACCATTACAACCAATGTTCCACGGGAAACTGAGGCGGGCAATCCTGTTGGTGAAGGGATGGAGAGGTCAAGGTGGGCTAAATACTCTTGATGGGTTTCTCCAGACATGCCTCGGCATCTTGTCACTGCTGGTGGAGAGCTGGGTGCCACAGGTGGTCCCCGCGCTATTGGCGATAAGATAAGCCACACTGAACTCCGTCATTCCCACTTTTAGCGAAGCGAAAAATCTCAATTGGAGACGCCAATTGGGGTGCGACGGTCGGCGGTCCCATTCCGCTGTTCAGCCGCACCTTTTGGTCTGGAAGAAATTCGATAGCTCCTGCTCGGACGCCGTTCTAGGGGTGACGATCGAAATACCCACGACGCAACGCAAACGCGGGACCACCGGCCGGCAATCGCTGTTTTCTGCACGAGACACACACCGAGGGGAACACACAAAGCACCCAGCAACCATGTTTGAGCTCCCGGACGCAAAGAGGTTCGTCGCCCGGTGCTTCGACCCTTGAACGCGACGCTGACTGTTGTTGGGGGTGGTTAGGGTCCGGAGGCAAGACCTGCAGTCCGACTCGGAAGACGAGGCGCCGGTCCGCGACGACGAGCAGGATGCGGAGCTGCTGGCGAAGCTGCACGCTCGCATGGCGGGCATGATCGACCTGGGCAGCCTCGAACAGCCCGCGCCGACGCCGAAGAAGAATGCCGCCGACAAGACGACGGAAGACGAGGACGCCGCGATGGGAGACGCCGCAGCAGACGAACCGGCCGAGCCCGAGGAGTTCGAGTTCCGCCTGTTCTCCACCGCGCCGGCGACCAAGATCGCGCTCGTCGACGAGGACGAGCGCGCGATGGAGGGCGACGGCGACATGGTCCGCAAGAGGCCGCTGTCGTACTACGTCGCGGAGGAGGCGTCGGCGGCGGCGAGGGAGGAGTTCGCGGCCGCGGCGGTGTCGGGGGAGGACGTGCTGGAGCGGGCGAAGCAGAGGTGGTGGGGGATGGAGATGCCGTGGCGCGTGACGACGATTTCCGGCAAGACGAAAAAGGCAGAAAAAGGAGGTGAGGACGAGGAGGCGGCGCGGAGGAGGCGGCCGGGGAAGAAGAAGAGGATCGCGCTGAGGATGAAGGAGCGGGAGAAGAAGAAGAAGGCCGAAGAGGCGGCGCAGGCGAAGATGGGCAAGGAGGAGGCGCTGAAGGAGAAGAAGAAGAGGCTGAACAGGGCGAAGAAGTTGAGGAAGCGGGCCAAGGCGAAGGAGGCCAAGGCTGCGGGCGGTGGTGGCGATGAGGCAGACGATTCTGGGGACTCGTCTGACAGCGGCGATGAGTAGCACAAAGGCGTTCATCGGTCTGGTCCGGTGGTCTTTCAGAAGAGGTGTCTATGATTTATGAGCGAAACAATTTGAGCGGCATTGGGTCGACCCCCCTGACCGTATAGTCATCACGTCTCTGGAGCGGTTTGATTGAGGCTGTGACTTGCTCGGCTTACCTCATCCGAGGTTGAACATGATCTTGCTGCGATTTTAGCAAACCTGGATGCATGCCAAAGGTTATGGTGTTCTCGTTGGGAGCGTTGCGCTGGTGCCCATCTGCAATGAGACCGGTAGCAGACCTCAGTTCCAAATGACACAAGGAGGGCGGACTGCCCCGTCTGTCTGTAAAGATGAGTACGGCTGCGCAAAGTGGGCTTCAAACACAGCGGGAACGACGTGGCTCGTGGTATTAGAAATGTGTTAACCAGGCTTTGCCGATGTGAAAGCAGTCCAGCACTTCTACATGGCCACACGTACCGGATCGCCTAGGATTATTATCGTATACCAGCTCAAAGGTGCAGTATTCATCATGCTCTAGTCCTATGCAATAATTCGCTACGGCTTACATGCCTTCCCTCATAGTAATCAGTTCCAGTCTCTGCGGACATCT